CTTATAAGGTATTAGAACGCATTGGACCAGTGGCCTACCGCTTGGATTTGCCTGCTAGCTCTAAACTACATCCAGTCTTTCATGTTGCATGCCTTAAAAGGAAATTGGGTGACGATGCAATAGTGCAGTGCCACTTGCCAGACACTTCTACTACTAGGGAAGTTCAAGCTCAACCACAAGTCATACTTGATCGACGAGTTGTAATGTACCGCAGACATCCTGTAACTGAAGTGCTGGTGCAATGGGCCAACTTACCAAAGGAAAATGCCACTTGGGAGTCCTACAACATGCTAAAGGAGAAGTTTCCAGAATTTGATGCTGCTCAGCCTTGAGGACAATGCTGAATTGAAGGAGGCGGGATTGTTAGGATCCTTTTATTTTTCCTTTTATTTTATGTGCTTTTCTTTTATTTTCTGCATATTTATTAAGTCTGTTTAGTTTAGCTAAAGTCGGAACTCTATAAATAGAGATGTAACTGCTTCTTTTCGATAATCTATGACAAATACTATTTTATCTTTTGACAAACCCTAGGAGGCCAATCCCCTCGAAGTGATCATCCCCTTCTCTTCTTCTTTTTACGATAAAACTTTAGAGTCTTATCACTCACTGCCATTGGGGTTGTCAATAAGTTTAAATATAAATCCTCCCCTAAGCAAGGTTTAGAAAATTATGATGGCATTGTCATATATCTCTTGAGTGTATCAAATACTTCCTAACACCACTTTATCTATTGGAAGTCCTTCAGATATTCTAGGATCTTAAAGAATGATAAACGTTGATCCCCTATCTGAATAAGAATAGTTAAACATGACAATTTGGCTTGCTAATTGTTGAACTTCTTTAACAAACTCAAAGGCTTCATGTTAATAATGGCTCGCACTTTCTTTGGATTTGCATCTATTCTCCATTGGTATATCATGAAGAGCAAAATCTCTCTTAAATTTATACCAAATGCACACTTGGTCGGATTCAATTGCATTTGGAATTTTTTAATAGAGGAAAATGTTTCTCCGAGGTCAACTAAGTGTGTGCTGGCAATACAACTCTTTTACCAACATGTTATCTATATAAACCTCTATATTACTCCCCACTTGATGCTAAAATGTTTTGTTAACTATCCTATGATATGTTGCCCCTGCATTTAGGAATCCAAAATGGCATGACCGTATAGTAGTATAGGCCATACTTAATGATAAAAGTTGTGTTCTTCTTTTCTAGTGTCAATTTAATCTGGTTGTATGTAGAGAAAATATCTATGAAAGCTAGTAGCTCATGTGTAGAGGTAGAATCGACAAACTAGTCAATTCGATAAAGGGAAAAATTATCTTTCAAATGAGACTTGTTGAGATCTATGTAGTCAACACACATTCTTCATTTCCCATTACTTTTTTTGACGAGGACTATGTTGATGAGCCACTTCAAGTAGTGAACTTTATAAATAGAACCAATTTGGAAGAGTTTTCTAACTTCCTCCACCTCTTAGTAGGTGGGAGTGAATCTTTAGGCTTTTGACAGACCACTTTATGCTCCATGTTTATGTTGAGTCAATGTTGAGTCATGCTAAAGTCTATTCTAGGTATATCACTAGTTGATCATGCGGCTTTCGAGTTTAGCCTTAAGAAGTTAATGAGTTCCTTCTTTCTCTCCTAAGTCAAGGCCAACCCCACTTTTACTATATAATTTGATTGCTTTGAATTTAAAAAAAAATCTTTCAAGGGTTCCCTTACCATAGGATGTAGGATCAATGGTAAGAGATATCATGGGTCTATCTACTGAACCGATAACTTTTCTTTCTTTGGAAGGGTGACCGATGTTAGGTAGTACTATTTGGATTCAATGAGATCACTCTTAATCTCTCCTATTCTTATACCAGATGAAAACTTGTCATATAATATGTTGACACCACTACCCATCTCCGGTTGAGAATAGGTCACCCAATGATAACATTATAAGCAAAAGAAATGTCGACTACTAGAAACTTGATTTTTATTATCTTAATGCAATCATCAACACCGAAGGTCATATAGATATTGATAATTTCTATTAAGGTAACTGACTCTCTTGTGAAGCTGGTAAGAATAGAGGAGATGGGCTTGAGATCCTTGATCGACAAACTAATTCTTTGAAAGCCATCATAATATAATATATCAATTGAGCTTCCTTTATCAATCAAATTCCTTTTGACCCATGAATTTGTGATTTTAAGGCATACCACTAATGCATCAATATGCTTTGGATCTATGTTCTCAGTCTCTTCTTCTTTAAACACAATCGACTGATCTTCGTTTGGGTGAAACCTTTTAATTGGGGTTCTCTCACATATATCTTTCGAGCTAATGAACTGTTACCCCCAACTATTGGTCCACTTGCTGCTCAATTGGACCTCAAGGTTTTGATGATTCTCAAAGCCAACGAAGGAATTTATTGAGGTGTCCTTTTTGAACCAAATCCTCGATTTGCTCCTTTAAAGCATAATAACTTTCGAATCATGCCTATGATCCCAGTGAAAGTAATAGTATTTGGTTATATTTTTCCTTGTCAGCGAGGCTCTCAGCAAAGGCACCATTAGGAGTCTCTCCTTCCAAATCTACATGAACATCTCAAGATAAGAAATGTTGAGGAGTGAGAACTCTCATTGAGAACGAGATCTATCTCCTCTTAGTTTGTTATTCTACGATCTCTCCAAGGAACTCGGGCATGTGATTTTTTCTTCTATTATTTTCTTAAATTCACCTCTCTTTTTGCCAACAATAACCAACTCAGCAAAGATAAGGCGATTGGCTTCTTGCAATAATTATAGAAAAGTGCCTGAGGCTAAGTGATGACACTATAGAAAAACCTTGAGGGTTGGAGATCATCGATAAACGCATTGAGGATGGAAGAGGTCAGGACTTGTCGGACTTCATTATTAAACCTCCTTGTATAACTCTCTAAAAATTTCTTTTCTTCCCATCGGATAGCTAAGAGAGAAGTGGTGGGTTTCTTCAGGAGCTTGTAGCTAATGAAATTGAGTTTAAAAGTCTATGGCCAATTGTCCAAATGATGAGATTGACTCTGAGGGCAACATAGTGAACCATTCGCACATTGCCACCCCTAAGATAGTTGAAAATATTCAATATATAAGAAAGTCTATAGTCCCAAAAAGAGTCATATGCTTTAAAGGGTCAATCTTCCCTTGTTTATATTTTTTTGTGAAAGGTGATTGTCCAACATAAGAAGCCTAAATCCTCAAGGAATTGAATCCTTGTTTATATTTTTTTGTGAAAGGTGATTGTATCTAGACATGTTGTATGCTGCTTTCCTTATTTTATTTCTCTATGAATTTCTATCAATTGTTAATCTATCCTATGCAGGTGGCTTTTGACTTTGGCTAGAATGTCAATCGACTGATCAACAAATACAATCATAAATTTTAATACTAGTAATGAGACTTGATTTGGAGCTATTGGCGGAGGAGGTGAATTTGGTTGTGCTTGGGTCTAGTGACTTGGCTACTTGGCTTGGGATGAGTGTAAGTGGTGGAGCAGGAGCAACAATAGGAGAGACAAATGTGGGTGGGGTTTATATAGAGTGACAATTTAGACTATCCCTATTAGAACCTATATTTGCTGAAGTAGAGCATGAAAAGTTTCCACGAGGTGATTGGGTGAAGGTCGATTCTTGAAAAAATCAGTGAAAGAGGTTAGGGTCAAGAAGTGGATTTTGTTGGGCTAGGGCTCCAACCGAGCCTTATTTTGGGATTACTAAGAATGGGAGATTCGAATCAGGAGCATTTGGAGAAGCATTTAGAGTGATCAAGGTCAAGGCACAAAACTACGAGGGATTCAAATACTTAGGATTCCCATGAGATATAACAATCAGCCCTCCTTTTAACGACAAACTGTTGAAGTCAATTTTGGGTTGCTTGAGTTGGAAGCCAGATCTAACCTAGTTTCTTTTTGAGTTGGTATATGGGAAAACACACCAAGCTAGTCTCCTAAGCCTACAAAATTAAGTCAATGGGCGATCTCGACAACACCCCTTCGATGCTCAAGTCAATGATGGTATCAGATGAGCCAAAGTAGTCAGTCAAGTTGGACTAGTCTAGCAAGGCTTTTTTTTTTTTTAGTGTTTGAGCGTACTTGGCCAATCCCGTTTATAGCGAAACCTGGGGGCCGTTACACAATTTGTTCAAGGTGGTTGGGTCTATTGGTTGTAACTACTAAAAATAGATACTAATCATTTGTCAACTAGTCATGTTCTTTATTGAAAGCTATGCTTCGACATAAGTCATCGATGGTACATCCACATGAAGATAAAATCACTGCTAAGTAGTGCATGATACTAGCAAGTAAAAAGATGACACATCGACTATATATGATGCTAACATGTCAATCACATCACATCTACTATAACAATATTATATATCGAATGAGATTTTGAATCTTTCATTTTTTATAAGTAGATCTTGTATATTATCATAAGACCAATGTTTAGGCATCTAATGATCACAATATGATAAGGTTGTAACTAGAAGAATGACAAAAGAGCAGAATGGAATCTTAGCAGAGTGGCCTGAATAGAATCTTTCCATGTCTCACAAGTAAACAAAATTGCGCTTGTTTAGACATACAAAACGCAAATTACCATTCATCACTGATAGTCATTGCCATCCAAGTCAGGCACCTTTCTCTCATGTACATGGCCATAAACATGTGTACCACTTTCAAGGTCAAACACTTTCTCATTTCTCCCGACATTATATGAGTGCAAGAAAGGTGCGTCAAGCTTGGCACTATGTCGGGCGTCGGAGGCACCTCGATCAGGTGCAAATCGAGCAGCACCTAGTCAGGCTGATCAACCCACTCAAAGGCAATCACTGATATCGAGCAACGACAAGAACAAAAGCATACATCTATAGCTTCGTTGCACAACATCCATACTGCAATGTAAAGCCAAGAACGGGCTTTCAAGCCAAGTTCTTCTAAGATGACAAAACAAAGAAAGGAGTGCCCAAATCATAAGTTCATATAGTTTCCAATACTTAGTCTCTAATACCATTTTCTTGATTTCAGAATGTAGCATATTGTTTCTGCAAATATGCAAAATGTCCCAAGTCAAAAAGGTCCAAGAAGGATTCCAACCCTCCTCTGTTCCTCTTATTCTCACTTTTCTCTGGGCAGAATAACTATGAAGATGTCTGCATGGCATTCTCCATAAATAGATTAAAATGTGTAAGAAAAGCATCTTACAGGTTACATTTCCGGAATCTCACTGTCCCTTAGTGAGAGAATTGGATAGATCAACAATGTCAGAGACGCTACTTGCATAATAATCTGGATGGATTTCATTTGAAGGATCCTGAAGATCTAACATGCTAGTCACACCTGAAATGGTTTTCTCCACAAGAATCAGCCGGTCAACAGATTGTTCAACCATACATTAGAGGACATAGTAAAGCTAAGCATTAACAGAAAAACAAATGAAAAGGTTATACAGAATAGATGATTGGACCTGAGAGAACAAGAAGAGTCTTACAGCCCGCATTTTTGCCAAAGAGTATATCAGTATCCAGTCTATCACCTACCATGCACATACGCGTCGTATCAATTTGGAACCTGCCATGCAATGTGATACAGAGAGATAGTAAGATGGTGGCATATCTTAGAAAGTTTGGTTATAACGTAGCTCATACGATAGATGCGAGTCATGCAACTATCTCTGTGGTTTGTTTATTCTCCTACTCCCACATTTACTATATGCCACAAAATGCATCTGTTCAACATGCATCCTAATGTACTGAATATGCTAACACAATAGCTTTAAACAGAGAATCGATGCTGGTTTATTTGTATTGCACCGCAATACTTGAAAGATGGAAAAGCATTAGTTACCTTTCTAACAAGAAATCCATCAGGAAGGTTGATGGTTTTCCAACTACAATAGGTTCCTTCTGTGTTGATCCACATACTGCTGCAACCATGCATCCTGCACCTGCACATCTATAGAATAAATATCATGGAAAGGACAACCATAAGTAGGAATATTGGCAAAGGAGTCTCCTTTGCTAAGGATGAACCTGGCCATTCTTGCAAGTCTGTCATATGACCAACAGCATCACGGTTGGTGGCAATAAAAAGGCATCCAGGGTTCTCACAGATACAAAGAGTTGCATACCTGCCAGATAGTCATCTTTCTTTAAAATTATCTTTGGAATAGTGAAAAAAACAACAAGATCACAATAGCAAAACCAGAAACAAAAAAGCACCATTAAAGTTTTTAATATTCAATAAATGATAACAAATCACTATGATCATTTAAGCTCATGAATCAGACTGAGAATAGTGACCTTCTGATGCTTGCAGCCAAGAGAATACTCAAAAGCATGATTTTAAACGACTAACTTGAATCTCACTTATCATTTGGCTCCTAACATTTTACTGACTCCAATATCCAGTATCTGGAACTACAATGAAGCTCAAAAGGCTTATGCATAACCTTTTACTAGGAAAGGTTAACAGTTAGGAATGAATATCAAAAGTTATTATAATAAACAGTGATAGTTAATTAGGCTGAATCCATATCCTGATCACATTGAACCACTGAGAAGAGAGGGAGAACAATCATTAAACAATCGGTAAAGAACAAGATGGCATCAAGGACAAAAGATACAATAGAGACAGGTTCCTTTAATTTTCACCAAATGTTATCAAGAAAGCTAAAGAGCGTCTCAATTTGTATGTTAATCACCAATGACAGACAAAAAGTTGATTTAATAGAAATTAAGATATAAAATGTAGGATAGAATGTCTTACTGGAGCTTATAATAGTTAATATATTGATCAAGCCCAACAACAACTGCTCCAACCTGAAACAAGAAATTTTAATTTTACTACGCATATTATATGTTATTCTAAATGAATTATTTAAATGTTCTAGTTAAGCATATATTTGTTCTGCAAAACAATGGGAAATTCAGCAAATAAGATGGGCATTTTGGTTACACTCTTATCATGTTCAAACCAGAAGTTTGTCTTCAGCTCTACTTTCTTCTTGCCATCCTCCTGCAGACAGTTGATTGACTAATTAAAGAAAATACAGATTTTTGGAAACATGCTAATCCAACATACTGACAACTACCACTGAAAGGCATGTGCGATACTTATCCTAGAAAAGAAAAGGAAGTAGAATCATTGAAACAGAAAGATGTCTACTAATCACCTTGTTAGGTCATCAATGACATCACATATATAGTAAAATTTCAAATTAATTAAGGGAATGTAATGAAACATCAAAGTAATTATCCTGTTTTTCTTTTTTGGTGGTTGAGATAGCCAGTATGCAAGTGTTCAACAAAAAAAATTGTGGGATTTGATGTACATATATCACTACTTTTTAGTATATAATCAATGTCATAGACAAAGATAAATTCAAATGATAGGCAAGAAAAAATATATAAAAAAGGCCAATGACGCCTTACAGGACCACCTAAACATGAAAATCCAGCCTGCTTGAGTTCTTCTAGTATGCCTTCTTCGCCTATAACATAGACCTGACAAAATGCCAGTGCAATTTAATCAAGATATTATGATGAATTATCGCACGATGGAAAAGTTAAGAACACATTAATCACTGATTCTCCAGATACCCAAATGGACAACCAAACAGGCAATAAAGATGTTACCTTTTTCTCCCTAGGGAAGTTTCTCAGTTTCAGAAACATGGCAGCAGCAAACGATGATGAAAAAATTTCTTCCTGCATATGGATAAATGAATCGGGAACAAATGCCGCACGAATTTCGAAAGATCTCAAAGGAAAACACGAACCTCGCTGACATCAAGCCCGAGAGATGTGAACTTCCTCTCGTATTGCTTCCGAGATTTCGTGGAGTTATTCGTCACAAAGACCAGCTTCTTCCCCTGCCGACAAACCGAGACGTTGTTAGTTCGGAATCTTGATTGCGATCAACTAGTGATTAAAGAAAAAAGCAAGAAGGAACAAACTTTCTGGATGAAACATAATCTTCACAACATCAATTAGTCAATGATCGGAGGGACAGGGGAGGTATACAATTACCAATGATCGGAGGGCTTGCAAGGCGTGCGGAACACCTTCGATGAGCTTGTCGCCCCTCCAGATGACCCCTGAAAAAGACAAAACGGAAAAGGACAAGGGTCAAAAACGTTGAAGGAAAAGAATCGAGTGGGGAGAAATCAGACGAAGGGGAGAGAGAGAGAGAGAGGAGAGAAGGAAGAAGGAGACCGTCGCAATCGAAGAGGAACGCATCGACGGAATCAACGAGGGATTGTGCAGCCTGAGGCAACAGGGGCTGGGACGTCGAGGGCGACTTCGTCCCGTTGGCCGTCGTCATCGCTGCTGGAGAAGGAAGAGAGGAACAGATGGGATGTCAATGACGACCCTCGCGCTCGGAGGGAGCGGAGAGCGGCGATACTTGTAGCGAACATTTGATGTGCATATGTTAGGTCTCAAGGGACCACATTCCGTTTGAGGGTCGGAAATGGAGTGCGAATTCTGGTGGTAATTGAAAGTTGATTTGGACTAGATGGTGGGCTCCCTTAACGAGCAACAAAACAACACCGTTACGGCACAATAAACAAGGATAACATATACAGCTCATGCTCTCTTTATTATTACTCCCGAGGAATAAAATGTGCTCAGTAAGCTAGTTGGCATCTTGGCATCTTCATAAAATTTATGACGATGATATGGACCAACATGTGAGGATTATTTATGTGGATGATACGGAAAACATATATGAAAGTTAAAAGAACAGCAAAGAGAGTGTTGATGTTCCAAATGTTTGATGTTACAGATTCCTGACAGAAACCTACACAACCACCTAACATGAACTCAAAAGCCTTGAAGGCTCAATCCCAGTGGTGCTGGAGTGTCAATTTTGCCTAAACAATTAGAAACAATACACAATCAGAGGTGGCGGTACTAGCTGAATCTGATGACATGGTAAAAACCTTTTCCTATCTTCCATAAGGGTGGTATCGACCAGCACCACCACCAGAGCCTCCTCTACTGCCATAGAGTCCACCTGCACCATAACCACCCGGAGAATCATACCCGCTTCCATAGCTAGAACCACTGTAGCCACCCGTTTCACGTCCATAGCCTCCAAACCCTCCACCATATGAACCAAAACGACTGGTGTAACCAAGCGAAGATTCTCCCCGATAGTCCCCTAACCCACCAGCATAACCACCAAATTCACCAGCAACGCTGCCATAACCACCATAGGCTCCAGGTCTAGGACCATAACCTCCTGGTGTCCTGTAGGATGAAGGCCCATAACCAGCACCACCACCACCACCAAAGCCACCATAATTGCCACCAAATCCACCAAAACTATCACCAAAGTGACGAGGTCGGGGTTCACCACCAGAAGCAGGTGGTGGTGCATTGCCAGATTTCTTTGGTTCAGCCTTCTTGATTTCCACCTACAATATCACAGCAACATCAACCTTTACCATGCCCAAAAAACCAACTAAAAATGCAATACAGATGAATATATATGCAATTTCATGAGATAGAAAACAGACAAGACTAAACTATCATATCTGATAATTTTATCATCGCAAGGTTCAACCAAATTGTTATTCAATTAGATGAACAAGCATGAAGAACATAAGGATGCCTCTACTAATGCAACTTTAGTCTTCCTACCGAACATAGAACTAGACTCACCTTAGAACCAGCTAAATCAATCATGTTTCCCCTTTTGGCTAACAAGTCATCTACATCTTTTTCCTTCTCAAAGACTATAAAACCAAATCCACGAGACCTGTTGGTTGTATGGTCACGTATGATTTCATGATCTTCTACTCTCCCAAACTCAGAAAAGAAGTTCTTGAATTCATCTGCTATGTTTAAAGTGAAAGATCAAACCCTGTTTCTGTTAACATGTATAGTCAAATGACTCGCATATACAATGACAAGGATGTGTTACCTTCTGTTAATGTTGTTGGTATACCACCAACAAATATCTTTCTCGTCTTGAAATCCTTCAAAGGAGCAGCACCTTTCGGAATAGTTCTTTTAATTTCCACCTGCAAAGTTCAGGATATGAGACAATATGATTTGACGTATTAGTATGGAAGTTATAATAAGGCAAAAAATAATGTAACAGACATATGAACTAAGCATAAAGGATGATACCAAGAGATGGTTATAAAGATAATGGCACATCAAAAAATCAGTATATACAATAATTTAAATACAAAAAAATAAATATTGGTCTCACTTAAATAAAACAGTTCTAAGTAGTGACAGAAACAATTAGGGGATGATGCACCAGCCTGATCCACATGGTCACCGTAGGTTTGACCAACTTTAACCAGGGAAAAGGGTGAGATCAAGGGTATAATTTTCAAACACAATTGAGACCATGACAGGGTCAGTCCTGAGTCTCTTCCATCCCATCCTGATCTCCAAAAAACCAGCTTCAGAAGTTTGATAAAAGTACTCCTTACTATATGGTAGATACAACAACAGCATATGCCAATCATAACACATTTAGTACTATGGGCAATTTAAATAGGTGTGGTGCAGGGAAAAGCCAATACTTTCAATTTTTGGATGGCCAGGGATGGTATTGTTTTTGTTAACCTGGGTCCGGGAGAGGCAGAGGTGGCAGAATGAGGTAGAGAAAGTCTTAATAAAAAAGCAATCACATCCCATCCCTAAAACCAATTGCACAATGTTTTACAAAATCAGAAAATAAAAAAAGAAAGAAATGTCAACAAAATTTAACAATCACATGAGGAGCATAAAGTACCAAAGCAAAATAGGACAGCTACATATTTGTACAAATGTCAGTAAAAAATGGAGGTCAAACATGCAAAACCAAAAGCATATCACATAAGCCTTACAACCTACATAAGATAACTACCCAAAGCGCAGTTGGGCATTTAATAAAAATATAGAACTTCACAAAACAAACTACTGATCCAAAAAAGTAAATTAAATAAATTCAGTTCTTTTGACATCTAATAGACTAAAAATCACTGAGATAGAACATACAGTTTTCCCATTGAGAATATGTGTGTCCTCAATGACTTGGTCGACAACAGAAGCATCTTTGTAGGTGATGAACCCAAAACCTCTGGGCTTGTTTGTATATCGATCTTTCATTATCACTGAATCCACTATCTCTCCATACTTTTCAAAGTGCTTCACAAATGTTTCTGTCATATCATCACACGAACAAAACAATAAAATATTATCATAAATTAACAAAAATTTAAAAAAAAAAAAAATCTCCCTAGCCATGACACTTATACAAATGGAACCTTTGGCAAAATGCAAAAGACATGCGAGACAAAAAGAAGTCAATATGCCAACATCAATCATAAAAGCCGTAAAGAACTAGCACTAACAGATATGGTAATGAATTATAGCTTCGTGAATCACCAAAATCTTGATATACTAGTACACAAGCAATCAGCAACCAGGTCAAAGTTATAACCAAAGAAGTAGAAATAAATAAAAAAATATGGATATTAGCCATTAGCAGAACAAAGATATATTCTTTCAAACCTGATAATGAAGCCATGATTTACGCAATAAGAAGATAGTATAAACTGCTACTTAAATCTGTGACGAAGTAAAATCGTCATTACGTGACAGCATGGCACAGTATGCGGAATAAAAACTCTGAGCTTTAACCATATCAAGTTAGATCCCTGAGGAAAAGGTTCTAAAGAACGGAACAATGAAATAAATAGTGAGAGAACCAATCAACATATACTGAACCCTAGAGTGCGGTTTTGCGAGAACGATCAATCAGGTTTCTTGACAGATCGCAACGAAAAAGAACTCACCGAGCGTCGTATCCTTCGGAAGCCCTCCGATAAAAATCTTTCTGCCAGAGAAAAGAAAGCATTAAAGAAGAGAACAAGAAGAAAAACAGCACAAGATTGATCGAGGAGGAAACTCACGCAGGGCTCGCACCATCGTGCTCCTGCATTCTCGAGGCCATGGCGACGACCTCGCAAAGATCTCCGAGACTTAGGGTTTCTCAGGTTAGGTGGATGAGGAAAAGAGGAAGGAGCCCAAGCAAGAAATAGGGTTTGCGGAGACATGGGCCGGAGGTTCGTCCATATATGGGAGTCAGCTCTCGCAGGTGGGAAACACGAGACACACCGTCGCATTTAGCCGCTCGTCCGATCGCGGAGCAGAAAATCCATCGGAACCGTAGATCCCAAAACTAACGGTTCGCAATGGGGGGCCTCTGATTCACACTGTCTCGGCAGCAGATTCGGACGATGGGTATGATTTGGATTCGGATCCGAATGGCTGAGGGCTAACGGGGCGGATCCAGAAAAGCAACACCGTTTATGGATCCATGAGTTAGAACCTAATCTTGCAGAGACTTAGAGACCTTTGGTGGTCTCATCTCCTCACCTTTCTCGTTATATATATATATATATATATATATATATATATATATATATATATATATATATATAGTCTGTGCCTTGGATATCAGGTTATTAAGAGATTTAGGCCAGTAATCCCGCCAAGGACATGATCATTCATGATATCAAAATTCGTCAATCAATTGACACAAGAATTTTCTTCACGACACAAGACATGGGATAGCTCGAAGGATCTAATAGAAATATAGTGTCGAGCAAGATTGAGCATACTCCACGACGGACTTAGCTTTTGATGTATTGGATTCCAACCTGTTTGACATTAGTGAGTCCTTCCTTGATTGCAATCATTTTATTGTAGTAGCTACCTCTATTCGAGGAAAACACATTCTGCGAAGCATCCGCTCCCTGCTTTTGATTGATGATGGCAAGATGGCAAGAGCCATCTGTAATTAGTTTAAACTAATCTTGCTCGAAACTAGTCCAAACTACATTAATGGAGATTTTGTTACAACTTGATCCCTCATATAAAGATATGGTTTACAGCGAGCAGCATACACAACGATTTTAAGAAAGATGCATGTTGGAGTGTCTCACTCCATGGAATCATAACTCATTCCTGACCTTCTAAATCTGTCAAGAGTGCATATTCCATCATCAAGCCATTTACCAGTATCCTAGTGAGAGTGGAATTGAAATTGGTTGCCAGGAAGAGATCAAACATTTCTAGTTACGGAATTGTGTGATCCTGCCCATCCAAATCTTGACTACGGAAGAAGCAAACTCTAGGAAGTATCGATAGAGGATAAAAAGTCACTAGTACAAAGTCTATTATTTATCAATTGTGTGATCATGTCTATTATCGATATAGGAAGTATCGACAGAGGAAGCAAACTCTAGGAAGTATCGATAGAGAATAAAATTATAATTGGGATGTTCGACGAAATGCTTATGTATATCCGTGTCTTTTGGTTTGTTCATACTTTACACAACATGTAAAGGGTTGGCAGTAGGCTTAGCAACCATATTTTCTTTCGGTCTATAGTAGATTATTTTAGATTTTTTATTGTGTGACCATTTAGAACTTATAAAGTATGTTTATAATTTGTATTGGCTATGAAGTATTTTATAAAATGATTGCTTGTGGATCCCGAATGAAGCGCTTTCTCTAACCTTTTTTCTCTTTTGCAGGTCGTAAGGGACCTTAGGAGGTTTCGGAGAGGTTAACCTTTGCGGACAAACACACAATGGTGCCGCATGACTTAGGCTAAACCAACTAAGTCCGTGATAGATAGTATCAGAGTGGGACAAGCGCTCATAGAAACACTAGGCATGCAAAAGTGGGGGACCTAGTGGGCTGCGTTGAGGGCAGCCATCATAAGCGACCGTTTGGGGGAAAACATGCATGGAGATGTAGGGAAAAAGTAGTCACTCAGAGGAGCGGGCATCTTAGATTAACATTTAGAGGAATAGCTAACTCTTCACATAAGAGACACCACGCGGACAAGGAAGCTTGGAAGAATATAGCGTACAAAGGTTGAGATAGCTAAGTTTGAGCTACGGCTTGACGTTGACAACCATATATGATAGTGCTCAAGGTAAGCGAGGTGCTTCGTAAAGGATGAGACCATGCAAGGTGGAATGGGTTGCTCAGCGACTAAAAAAGTTATGCAAAGCTCATAGAGGTGAGAGGAATTGATAACTCGAATAATTTGATACTCATGCAAGGACTTGTATGCAGTCTCAGTTTTGCAAAATTTTTCTGCTGAAATGGTTTTGCCTACTTCAGATTTAAAATAGAATGGATGGTTTTGCCAATTACAACCTTGGAAGTCAGTATCTTATTCCTTAATTCTGAGTCCATTGCATGAAGTGTAAACAGAGATTTACTGTTATTTAAGGTCTGACCGAAACATGCGGACTCAGCACTGTCGGATTTCCTGATGATATGTCGTTGGTTGGAACTGTTGGTGTTGCATCTACATACTCTGAGGTGCGGCTTGAAGAAGCACCAGAGCTGGGCTACGATCCGCTGGGAACACCTTCGCGTGGAGAAATATGTGTAAGAGGGAAGACACTCTTCTCTGAGTACTACAAAAACCCTGAGCTGACCAAAGAGGTGATGGTAGATGGGTGGTTTCATACAGGTGAAGATGAATGCAAGTTATTCTAATGAACAAACAGCACTGTGACAACTCTAGTCTTATCTCTTGCTCTCTCCAAGGGATATTGGGGAGATGAGACCTGATGGAGTGTTGAAGATTATAGACAGAAAGAAGAACATACCGAAACTCAGTGTCATGGAGCATTAAAACTTTATATTCGGCATGAGAAGAATACGTCTGTGGGAGGCTGAAGTGTGCAGTGAGTTCAGCATGTTGCTATGCCTTGAGTGGTGTAGTGAGGACTATATTGATATGGAATCGTAATCTAGCAAGTGCGTTTGCATGAGGCAGAATAATGCATAGTTTGTTTAGTAAGGTGGAGTAGTCTAAGGGGATGATGGTCTCCGAAACTTTCAAAGAGAAGGAAGCGAAGAGAAAAGTTGCTCCAATGGGACAAATATCCATGTGGGATAAGTCCCGGCTCTCCAAAGGGAGACCAATGTACAACGGTGTTAGAACCCTTGCAAATTCTAAACTTGGGGTTGATCTCTTTAGGGGATCGACCTCCTTGGAACTCTATAGGGGTTCCTCCCTCCAAGTTGCTGCTCAAAGGCTGCAGAAAAGAGTCATCTATTTCTTATGAAAAGAGAAGGAATACATGGCTATTTATAGGGCTTCTAAACCCTAACTCCTAATAGGACTCCTACTTAAGACTCTTACTTATAACCAACTCCTAATAAGACTCCTACTCAAGACTCATATTCCCTTACAACTCCTAATTCTTCTCTAAGAAAAAACCTCCTACATGAATGCTCCTCTCAATTAGGACTCTCTTAGCTAGAGTCCTAACAGAATGTCCCTCTCAATTAGGACTCTCCTAGCTAGAGTCCTAACATTTTTACATGAATGTCCCTCTCAATTAGGACTCTCCAAGCTAGAGTCCTAACAGACCCGCCCTCTTCAAATCAGTCTTGTCCTCGAGGCTGATGATTTATGAATTCTGGGAATTTGATCTTCAAGTCGTCATAGTTCTCCCAAGTGGCATCTTCTATTGGTACGTTCGCCTACTGTACTAGCACTTTATTAGTGGGTCGTCGTCGTCGAGTCATGATCCGTCGATCAATAATGGCACTTGGCTGGGTCAGGAGTTCTCTTTGGGTAGTCATATTTGGTGGGTGGCTTTGGGCTATCTCCAAGCACCTGTTTAAAACTTCCGGTTGGCTGTTGGTTTGTGGGTGATATGTCATACTCCTTTTCAATTTAGTACCCTGCATATAGAATAACTTTGTCCAAAATCTGCTCTTGAAGATGCAAGTAGAATTTGTCACAAGCACAATATGTCCCTTATAGTGTAATTCTTTTGAGTCCCAATTGTAATGAGCCATGGGACTTGGTGCTTCCTCCAATTTTTATAATCTTACTAGTATCTGAATCTTCCTGCCATTCCATCTTAATATCCTCAAGGAA